TTAACTATAACTAATAATATAATAATAATATAATAATAACTATAATGCTATAATATAATAATATAATAAATAATACATTAATAGAATATTTCCTATACTATGCTACGCTAGTATTACTCTGTGTTACAACCTACTTTGTAACACTATTAATAAATTTGAAAATTTTTTAAAACTTCTAGTAATGATTTCACTATAACTAGCTATTTAAACCCAGTCAAAATTTTTTATTTCAATTCTACAAATCCACAAAATTAAAATAAAAAAATTTTCATCAAATTTGGATAGTTGGGTATCAAGAAAATATTGCTGAAAGTTTTTAAAAAATTTTAGAAAAAAATGAAAATTGGGTAAATTTTTCTTTCTTTGAACTTTAAATAATGATTTATCGACAACCAACTGTCCAAATTTGATGAATTTTTTTTTATTTTAATTTTATGAATTCATAGAATTATAATAAAAAATTTTAATCAAGTTTGAATAGCCGATTGTTGAGAAATATTCATTAAAATTTAAAAAAAATTTAGCCGCAACTCTTTTTTTAAAGATATTTAAACTTTGAATGATGATTACTAGGCATTTACCTGGTCAAATTTAATTAATTTTTTTTTATTATAATTCTATGAGCTCAAAGAATTAAAATAAAAAATTTTGATCGAGTTTGACCAGGTAAACGCAAAAGTAAACTTTGTTTAAATTTTAGTCAGCTATAAAAAAAAAAAGCTGTGATTAAATTTTTTTAGCTTTTAATTAATATTTCTTGACATTTAGCTATTTAAAATCAATCAAATTTTTTTTATTTTAATTCCATGAATCCATAGAATTAAAATAAAAAAATTTCATTAAATTCTGATAATTAATTATTAAAAAAACTTTAGTTAAAGTTTAAGTAAAAAATTTGACTACAGCATTTCTTTTTTTAAATTTTTTTAAAAAAATTTAAATGATGATTTATCAACAACCTGCTATCTAAAGTTGATAGAATTAAGTAAAAAAATTTTGATTGAGTTTGAATGGCTAGATATCGAGAAATATTAATTAAAAGCTAAAAAAAAATTTAGCTGCAGCTTTTTTTTTTAAAGATATCTAAACTTTGAATAAAGATTACTTAGCATTTGCCTGGTCAAAGTCGATCAAAATTTTTTTATTTTAATGCTATAAGCTCATAGAATTAAAATAAAATAAAATAAATTTGATCGAATTTGACCAGGTAACTGCCTAATAATTGTCGTTCAAAGTTTAATTGTCTTTAAAAAAGAAACTGCGGCCAAATTTTTTTTTAAATTCTAATAAATATTTCTCAACAATCGGCTATTTAAACTCGATTAATATTTTTTTATTATAATCCTATGAATCCATAGAATTAAAATAAAAAAATTTTCATCAAATTCGGACGGTTGGTTGTCGGTAAATCATCGTTTAAAGTTCAAAGAAAGAAAATTTTATCCGATTTTTATTTTTTTTCCAAGATTTTTTTAAGTTTTTTAAAACTTTTAGCAATATTTTCTCGACACCCAACTATCCAAATTTGATGAAATTCTTTTTTTTAATTCTGTGGATTCATAGAATTGAAATAAAAAAATTTTGACCGGATTTGAATAGCTGATTGTAAAGAAATCATTGCTAGAAGTTTCAAAAACTTCCGAATTTATTAATAAGATCAGTTTTGTTTATTGGCTGTTTCCTTTTTAGGAGTTGTATTACCGGCACAAATAAGTAAAGCCTGCCAACAGTGGCATGCATGCCACTGAGTACAGTATAAAAATTATATTTATAATATTCAGACCATATACAGTATATAGTATTAAATAATATATAACATTTTATGGCATGCCATGGCACAAATTTTAAGAAAAGGCATGCTCTGTGGCATGTCAAATTTTTTTGGCGTGCCGGACACCCTAAGGAGGAACCGTTGATGTTACACGACTGATCCTTCACCCGGTGTGCAACATATAAAAAAATTATTTTACAATACAGCAATACCAGATCATTCCGCTAGTACATGTTATTACACCATTTTATTATAATAAAAATGGTGTGGGATTATAATCATAACATGTACTAGCGGAATGATCTGGTATTGCTGTATTGTAAATAATTTTTTTATATGTTGCACACCGGGTGAAGGATCAGTCGACGGTTCTTCCTGTTAAAAATTACGCGTGTAAAATTTAAACCGCGGCGTGATACGTAACACCTAGCATTCATTAAATTTAATTGGTGATACTATAATAATATATCCGATATTCAGATATTGTATTCTCTAAATATTTAGTTATACTGTATTATTCATCAGATCAGTAACCTTTTTGCAATTACGATTTTTTTAACTAGGTTCAATATGCTCCGTCTTGATATAAAAGTTTGATCCAATTAATTAGTGACGTACACAAAATTTGTACCTATAGTGGGGACGCATAAATGCATCTCATAGCAGATAGATCTCAAACGCTAATAATACGAATTTCAGCCTATTATATTGAATATCTGATATCAAGTATAAACATGTGTTATAAATAGCATTAAGTCCAATACTTATTAGCTCTAGCCTTGATTCAATTCTGTAGTTTTACAGGTCCAATAACAACATTAGTAACATAAACATTACATTTTCGAAGTTTATTTCTGAAACTGCCTTTTAGGCAGTATAAATTTGTTTTCATAGTGTGAAACTTTTTACACAATATGAAACTTTTAAATATTATGAAACTTTTAGACCGGGCCGGTTAAACTTCACTATAAATTTTTTTTTAAATCCCACAAAATTTTAGCATATACTGTACGTATTATATATAACCTTCCTAATCCACTGCTAATAATAAAGAGCTGTTAGAAATTGCCTTATAATACAACCTGTTTTATTTCGTATGAATTTCACATTACAATCTGATTGGCTAAAACTTACTTTCATTTGAAGATTAACCTAATCTATAGTACAGTAGTAACAGATAAGGTAAATCACTCGTGTAATTACCGGTAGTGTATATTCATTTAATATATGTATTTGATAATCATAATATTTTAACTAAACAAGGTTTAAAAACTCTAGTAATAAATTTCGGAAATTTTAATTAATTATTTTTGAAACAGTATTAGTTAGAAGTCCTTATATGTGGTGTTTTGGTGTACAGATCCCCCCTATCGTTTCTAGCGCACTTCCCTTTACTTTCCAAATTTATTTATAAAATACTTGCAAAAATGTTTTATCCTTTTAGCTTTCTTTTTAACCCCTTCCCTGTCCTTCCTTCACCCCTTATAAAGCTTATTTATTCACTTTCTGTCCGGTCACAGAAAGTACGATTTTTTAACGAAAAGAGAGTCTCCTAAAAATACTGCAGCGCAGTGCTTTAAAAAAAAAACAAAAAAAAAAAAAAAATAGCACGTCTAGTTTCGTTCAAAGTACATATAACAATATAATAATTATAGTACAAAATGGGTAAAGTTATTTGGAGTCAATGGGCTAGATTGATTGCTCTTACTGCCGCTGTTTGTAAGTCTTTTCAAGATAGTGGTATTTTACATTAATTTTGTTTTTTGGGGGAAAATATTTAAGTCAATATTTTTATTTGTAGTTGAAACTATCGGTGGTATATTTGGTCTGTTCTATCGCATTTCTACGTTTGAACCTTTAACAAAGTAAGTTATGATTAATTTTGCAACAAAAATTCCTCAATTCCTACCCTGATAGACTGACAATTAACTTATTTTCAATACTATTCTTTATTCACATTCTCAGAGATATTACTCCAATAATTGATCCTATAAATATTATTGCAATTCTTTGCATGTAAGTTTATTTAATTTGATCCTTCGTTCGACTTTATTGTATGGTACTTACATATATATTTTTTAATAATATATCTTTAGTGTCTTTGGTTTTATAATTGTAGCCATCGAAATACCTGTCTTCCCCTTCAAGGGCACTTTTATAGCATCATCTTTTATCCCACGAATCATATTATATTTAATCATTAGTGGCGTTTCTATTTTAAATTATCAAAATGTCAATCCCGCTTTATATTTACTCATCGCCGCTATTATGTATATTGCTGCAGCGAGAGGTGGTGAAGGAAGATATAGAATTAAACAAGATAATTCAAGAAGAAAAATGGTAGTATGATCGTTTAGGATAATTTATTGTATAATATTGAAAAAAAGCTACTTTTTACCTTTGAAGTTTTGTAAAAAAAAAATAATGGAAAAAAAAGGAAGATAGCACAAATGGTTAATTATAGTGTATTGTTTATATGTACATTTGTTCTTTACTTTCCTTATGATGATGTGCTATACTTATTATCAAAGAGTTTGGAATAAAATAATTAGAATAATGATTTTTTGTTCAGTAAGTCGAATCGTATTGTAATTCAAATGAATCATTGCACAATACAGCTTTCAATTATCGCAGGTCAATATTATACGTATAAATTGTTATTGGGTGCAATATTACCGTTTAGTATCGCATACAATACCCGGGTCTTATTCAAGAATTTCTTTCATTTTTAAAATTGGATAGTACCAGGTACTATCCTCGAATCAAATTATTTCATTGGTGAAGGGTTATTTTTGGTGAATACTATATGCAGTGCAAAACGATAATGCTACGTAAAAAAATTTTGTTTGTGCGACATTAATGGATCTGCAGATATCCATAGAATGTCCGATATATACTTCGGAAGTACCAGATTGGTTAATTAAAATCTACGTAAATCACGTAAATCGAATTAATTTTATGCGATCCAGAATGACCGCAGGTTTTATCTGTTATCGTTATATATCATGAAACTTAAATATTCACTTCCAGGTTTTCCATTCGAGTACCATAGTCGTGCCGCAAAAATTTGTCGATCCCGTGATCTTGAGCTAATCGTCGGTCTCGGAATTAGGCTAGAAATTATTGTCGAACGAAATTGAAACAATGTTAGAAAAGATTTATTAATAAACTATTCAGTGTGACTTTTTGTAACCAGTTGTTAAAATCATTAAAACCTGATTATTGATCGTGATTCTTGCACTAAATTTTGTAATAATAAATTTTTTTTGATCGGGTTAGCGTCCTAATATAGATTGGCTCGGAGACACGAGGCGGGTGAGTTTCAAATGGTACATACTCTGTAACACTCATTGGTATAAAAGATATATATATATATATATATACTAGAAAAACAGATTAGACAATTCATAATATATTTAGCTAAAAATAACTTGACTAAACCATTTTTTCGACTCAGTCATTAAACTTATATTTAACCTAAAATTTTTCGGCTAATTATTTTAATACAGTACGTACTGTACTTGAAATGCACGTGCAGTGGGAGATATCTAAAGCCATATATTTTTTATAGTAAAATTTTTTAATTTTTTAAAAAATAAACTAATAAAAAATTTTTTATAAAATTAATACTGTAGATTTTTAGCTAAACTATCTACTGTATAAATTTTATAAAAAAGTTTCTATTTTTACTTAGTTTTGAGGTAATATTAAATTAAAATTATTTGATAATATAAAATTTGATATTTAATATACTATAATAATTAAAAAATAAAAATATTTTAGACTATTATTAACTTGTCTCTCTAGTTAAATTATTTAAATATTATTTTAAAAACATATATATTAAGTAATTATGTAAAGTTAAAAACTCTAAATAAGAATATTCAAAACCCCAAATATTTATATTTAACAAAACTACAGTAGCTACTATATTTCCTATAACTTTGTTATAGAAATACTGTATTATAAAAGATTATAAAAATTTAATATTTTAAGAATTATTATAACCTACACCAGCGGTTATAAATAAACACTCCTATTAAAACTTAGAGTTAGGATATAGCTTTGAAATAAATAGAAGTTTTTTATATAAAATTTTTTTTATATAATATAATATATATTGAATATAAGGCTCTAATTTTAGTTTTTGTGAGATTTTTAGGGTTTTGAACATTTTTACTTAGAATACCTAATCCTATTTTACTTAGTATATTATTAAAATATTAGTATATTAGTTATCCTTAACTACTAGTGCAAGTTAAAAATATTCTATTTTAATTATAGTTAATAAACTTTCTTTAATGATCACTTATACCAAAACTTTTATTTAACAAAAACATATTTGCTTAGTTTAAACTAGTTTGAATTTTAGTATATTAATTACTTAGATTAATATTTGTTAAAAGATAAAATTTAATTATATTATTTTTTATAAACCTTTTATATATTAATTACTTTAGAATATATAAATTTTATTTAGTGAATTGCTATTTCCTTCATGGTTATACAAGATTTTTTATTTTTAGATAATAATATAAAAATATATATAACTCTAATTTTAGTTTTAAATTTTAATATTATTCTAACTCTAACCCTAAAACTAATAAGTAAACTTTCCTTCTAGCTTTAAGAAAAGTTGTAGAGAAGATTTTTCTAAAGATATTTGGGATTAAAGGCATAAACATAAAGATTTACAAATTTACTGTTATACAAAGTATAATAATTAGCAGGTATGGTGGCCTAGTGAAGTGGTCTAGTTGTCATCCCACCAAGCGGCAGATCTAGAGTTTGAATCTCATGGACGATGTTTTTCGAAAAATAGATTTGTATTAGGTAATGATTATCCATCAATCGGTTGGATCTAGAAATCTGTAATCTTGGTTACACTATCTAAAATGGAAGCTTTAGTGTAAAAATGCCAAGAAACTAGGATGATTGAAACCCATTTGAGAAGACCCGAGTAAGGAATAACTACAATCTTTAACAATGCTACAAGAAAGACTCGAATTTGGAAATTAGAACCAAGATTGGAGAACCGAATGACAACAAGATCCTTTAGTAAGAGGATTTACTAACCCAATCACTAACTTAGGAAAGCTAGGAATCTGTGAGGCCATTACGAAGTACACCAACCCTAGCCAGTTGGTGTGGAAAACTAGTAGTAGGAACTCTACCCACCAAGACCAGGGGCTATAGAAGTCGGACAAGAAACTAGTCAAACAGAAAAATACCAGGCGTGTCCAGAGAACCAGCTAACCAAACTAGAAGAAAAAGACATATGCTAGGAAATCATGTACCAAGATGAGACGAAAGCACTAGGCACCTAATGCCAAGCCAAGATCGAATCTTCTGGGTTATTGGTTGGAAGTAAGAGATAGACTAATAAGGAAATAATAGAAAAAAAAAAGTCTTGATGTGGATATTGGGATTGGAAAGCGAACCTTATAAAGACAAAAGTGATTAAATGAGTAATAGCCTAACTACAAGTAGAAGCTTCAGCAACTGCACAAAACCAGATTGGCCCAAAATGGAATAGAGAAAGCTCTGGTAGGTTTACCTTGTAGATAGTTGTACATCTGCTCAATAAAGGAATGCAAGCCAGTAATTAGTTGGTGCAAACACAGGATAAGTCACAAAAGTTCTAAGGCAGGATGCAAAATCTAGAGAAACGGGCCAAATAGTAGTTCCTGGGTTAGTATGATAGGTTATAAATACAGTTAGGATCAGAAGATTTAAAAGGGTAACTCCCTAGTTGGGTTATAGGTACAACATCTAGTGTAGAACCTGCAGGCGGACTATTTAAATAGGCACTCAAAAGGTGCACGTGTGGCTAGTTGTATCTTCATCGTAACTGTAATAACTAATGATTACTAATAAAAAGTTTCCAGGCCAAGGAGGTTATCTTAATATCAAAAAAAAAAAAAACAAAGTATTATAATTTATAATACTTTGTATAATAATAAATTTGTAAATCTTTATATTCATGCCTTTAACCCCAAATATCTTGGGATTCACCAGGCCGATTTTAATGATCTAACTACTATTAGAACCAGAAAAATCTCCTCTATAACTTTTCTTAAAGCTAGAAGAAAGGTTTACTTATTAAAAAATTCTTTAATTTTTAAAAACCTAATTTTCACTATATAAATACTAAAAATAGAAAATCTTGTAAATCTTTGTGTAACCCATAGTGGAAATAGCAAATTACCATGGTGGAAATAGGCATTCCCTTTATTAATTTTAAATTGATTATATAAAAAATCTAAAATGCTTTTTTGTAATAATAGAATAATGCAAAATATGCATAATTAGTATAATTTACTTTAAATAGTTAATTATTATTTTTAAGTGAATTAATTTATTTTAAGTTATTTCATATATACTAAATATAAAAATAATATCAAAAAAATAAAAATAAATCAGGTTTATTAAACTTAAAAATTTAATATAGATATTATTAAAATCATTTATTGTAGAACCTAATTCACTAACTCTTTCTAATAATTACTTGTACCAAAATTTGCTAAAACAAAACTTAAGTTTTCTCTAAACTGCTTTTTTTAACATACTTTTTTTATTAAATTTTATTGTTTTATATTTCAATTTATATATAGTTATCAAGTTTTATAGCTCTAAACAAAGTTTTAACTAAACTAAATAATAACTTATCAAAACAAATATACTTTAAGTTTACTCAAATTCTGTTAAGAAAACTAGTTTTACTTTTTAAGACAAAGTCCTCCGCTTATTTTCAGCTTTATTTTGATATAAAATTCATTACAAATAGCCCAAAATTGACTATTTTATAGTTAAATTACTTCAAACTCTTTTCTAAAAAAATTTTTTTTCTTTTTTCTACTTTTTTTCCTATCCAAACCTAGCCCCAAACATGTTTTAGAAACTCTAAAATTTTTGGTTTACTTAATTAATAATCTCCTTTAAAAATTTTCTTTCTAATCTTTAATTAAATTTATATGAAATAAACAATTACAAATTTGTATTTCTTTTAATTTATACAAATCCATATAGTGCTATCTACTATTTTTAGTAGTGATATACAAGCCACTTTTGTACTACAAGCCATATTAGCCACAGCTACACTAGCTACAAAAAGTTATTCAACTAATGCAATATTATACAAAACAAATTTTACTACTTCGAGAAGCTCTTCTTTTACTCTGCAACAATATAGTTATCTAACTTGTCAAAATGCTTATCTTAATAACATAGTATCCTGATTTTCATGATCTTGACTATATTTATAACAAATATCCAAACCATTTTGGTATTGAAACAAAAGAAACTAACTTACTTAACTTATATATACTACCTAAGAATACTAATCCTCT